AAAGATTTAGAGTTTGCAGTCCTTCATCATGTGGAATATTGGTGTAAAGGGAAGAAACATCCATCGTGCAAAGAAGACTGTTGGGTGGTAACTGTCCGTTAGTATTAATATCTTTTATGATGTTAAGAAAGTGAGTAGTATCCTTTATGTAAGAAGGGAGGGTACAGGGAATGCATTTTATGTGTTGGTCAACAAAAGCGGAGAGCTTTTCAGTAGCCATGTTTACGTTAGAAATTATGGGTCGGCCAGGATTGTTTGTGTATTTTGGGTAAGAGATAAAATCAACCAGGAAAAGCTTCTCTGGGTATCAAATAATGAAAGGTTTCTTTGTTAGTTTTACTGTTTTGGAGGAGTTCTTTAAGTTTATCAGTTATGGTCTTAATAAAGTGAGTTGTAGGATCATGTGAGAGTTTTTTCTGTCCTCTAGTTACCAGTTAGTTTCCATGATATAGTCATCTTTGTTAAGGATAACAATAGTTCCACCCTTGTCTGCTGGCTTTGTTACGATATTCTTGTTCCATTTAAGATTGTTTAAAGCACTTCTTTCATTTTGGTTAATATTATTATGACATTGCTTGGAAGATTTTAAGGTCTGTATTATGTCATTTTCTACTGCTTTAATATAACTCTCTAAATGTAGTTCTCTGTTTGGTGGAGGTGTCCATAAAGACTTTTCTTTAAAGTTCGGTGTACATTAATTTTCAGTTTGTTGTGAAAAAATTCGCGAAGTCTTATTTTTCTGGAGAATTCATGAAGGTTAGAATGAAGTTCGGGGCTTATTAACATAGCTGTTGTTTGGGCAGAAGTTGAGACCTTTACTAAGAAGACTGAGTTATGTCTGAAAGATTAACAATGATAGAGATATGTGGGAAGTGTTCATCGTTATCTGTACGATTTATGGGGTCACTGTTATTTTCAAAAGATTTGTTAGTTTAAGAAGGCTTATGCGTATTAGATGATGAAGTGTTTAACAAAATTAAACTTTTCATTGTGAGATAAAGGGATTTTGATAGTTTCTGGGAGATTGCTTGATGCTATGGTAGTTTCTATATCATAAAAAAATGATTCGAAAGAGTGTTGTTAGAAGTGCTTTTTGAATTGGTGTTATTGTTACTCTTTTTAAGAAGGAATGTATCAGTTCTCTTTGTAAATTTTTGTAGTTCTTTTTGTTCTTCCAGCGAAGGATTGTACAGGTGATAATAGTGGGAAATGTCTTTATCTAGAATATCGACAGAAGATATTAGTGATATTCATGGGTTCTAAGGAGGTGTTTTCAAGGATCTGTTGCAGAAATTCTGATCATGTGCTCCTATTGTGATTGGTGCTTTTAATGTGACAGGTTGAGGTATGTTTCGATTATTTTATGTTATGCACTAGCGATCTGACATGTTGACAATGTCTTGTGCATTTCTCAGCGAGTTTTCTAAGTTTTTTCTGCTGTAGTTGAGTGATTCGCCGCTTGGTTCACGTTCAGTGTTAACAGACATTGATGTGAGGTCGTAGTTGTAATCGTTAGCTAGAGGGTGAAGAAGTTTAAGGAAAGGAAGAGGGAGGTAGTTGTGATTTTCAGAGTGTGTCTTACAACAATACATGGAAAACAGACATTGATGTGAGGACGTCGTTGTAATCGTTAGCTAGAGGGTGAAGAAGTTTAAGGAAAGGAAGAGGGAGGTAGTGTGATTTTCAGAGTGTGTCTTACAACAATACATGGAAAACAGACATTGATGTGAGGACGTCGTTGTAATCGTTAGCTAGAGGGTGAAGAAGTTTAAGGAAAGGAAGAGGGAGGTAGGTGTGATTTTCAGAGTGTGTCTTACAACAATACATGGAAA